AGTAAAATTCAACTATCATAAAAATAGCTACTTTTACAAAAAAAGGAAATCGATGAATTCAAAACTCCCTAAACACGCTAATATGACAACTTAAAATATGCTAACAGTAACAACAATGTCCGACGCGAGAATTTGTTCTGGGCATGATAGCAACGCAATCGCATCAGCACATTGGTTGAGGAAAATGAAATATGTAGTCACAAAGAAGATAAGATTTGCTTTGCAATCACCCGTTGATTCAAATCAGGAACTCTTTGATTCGGAATTAGAGTCTTGAACCATTTTGGCAAATGCGGACTCCGGATTTCCTAGTAGTTTTGATGGGGAGTCAAATTCGATGATCTGGCCATGATCCAGCACCATGATTCTAAATTGATATCGTTATGGAAAAGATTAATCTATATTTACTTTCTTTTGTCTTCAAATGCTGACCTGTCATAATCCATAATTGTGTTCAAACGGTGAGCAACAGTAAATACGGTACTTTTGACGAATTGCTCACGTATCGTTGCCTAAAAATGCAAATGGAACAAGATACAGAAAACCAAGGATGGCATCGAGGAAAGCCTCAAAAATCATCCATTAGCACTATTCATTATTTTATTTACATTCGGAAGAAACGCGCCACTCATTTATAAGTTGAGCACTTTAGTACATGTCAATTTGAGTTCTGTGGCTTAGATTCACGCAGAAACTTTACAGTTGCCTAGGTCGAGAAGTCTCCAACTGCTTATTGCATGCGCGAATCAAACGGCTAAATTGTGAATAAAATTTTGAACAACTATTCAATCTTAAACAAATCGTGAAGGGTTTGATACATCATTTTGTTGCTTACAGTTTACATAAGCAGCCAATGATAAGCGTGAGTTTTTCAATACACTGAATTAAACATTAACACAAACATTTTTTGATTTTTTTCTAACCTTCGTGTCAATTTATTATTATAGCATTGTTTGGGGAGTATAACGTAGCTGCTTCAAAGAAGCATGATAGGTGGTAGTTGTTGATGCAGTTTTTAAGTTTCACATATTTCCCCTTTATTCGGCCAAAAATCGCGCACAATCGTCTTCGATAGTACAGGAATCCTCAATCCCGATGGGAAAGATTGGAAAATCAAGATTGGCATCAAAAAACGCATCAAAAGAAATCATCCAGCAGCACTAGTCATCATTTTGATTGTCACATTTTGATCCGTTCCTCAAGACGTTTCAAATACAAGTTATCATATGAAAGCATAGCACATGGCAGAGACAATGCTGTGGACTTTACAACGCTCACAGCCTGAGGCACCTCCTAAACTTTTGAAGTCAGATAGCACATTTATTACAATCCAGTGCTTTACCTCTCTTTTGGAGAGGCTCGCACTGGCGCTTTGGAGAGCTAATTCAACACTTTGAGAAAGTATCTAACTTAATCCAATAAGCCATCATGCGCATCTTTTGTGAAAGTTCTGAAGTTTTGGTATTACCTTTCAACGTCTTAATGAACAAGAAAGACATAGACGCCTTTTATCCGGATCGCAAAGCGCGTTCATAGATTGAACAACCAACTTACCACTTTTTCACAACAAAATTGCTCATGGTTACTCAGTGTGCTGCAGTTAAAATGATAACGCTTGATACTGCTCTTTGACTTCCTTAGGACACATGAACTAATTCCATGAGACAGAGAAACACACACACACACACACACACACACACACACACACACACACACACACACACACACACAC